TCTTTTACTGGTTTTACATGAAAAATAGAATAGATGATCCAAACGTCAATAGTTGTCACTGTCGGCAACCGCATTTTTGATCACGGTGGTATCAAGTGGTATGAAGACGTTATCGCCGTTAGTAGTCGGCGATGAACTATACCGCTTGAAAAGTAAGCTGCCAGTGGCGGGGTGCCGGCAACAGACGAAAGCGCGCCGCTCTCTCCACCTTCTTTCCAAGATCAGCCGCAGCGTATCACCACGGGTAGGGTTCGAGGCTATTTGGCACGCGCTCCGCTGTTCCCTCTCATATTGCTCACGATAGTACACCCAAGAAAAGAAGTGTACTATGGTAATTACACCTTTATGAGAAGGAGTATTGTAGTTTTACACCTTCATAAAAAGGTGCAGTGCATTATCAAACGTTTTAAGAAACGTGTTTAAAAAATCACACGTTTTTAAGGGTGTGAGGTTTACATTTTTTTACGAGGTTTATCTCTACACTTATTAGGGTGTTAGCTATGGTACACCTCACTTAAATGTAAAAAGGTGTGAAAATGTTTAATGTGTATACCTCTAACTGAAGAAAATCTCCCTCATGTGATTACATCGCGTGCCGATGAAACGATCTGTCGATGACACGTCATTCGATGAACTGATTTGACCGCCAATGAGTGACTACTGCCAGTAGAATTTCGGGGAAATAATTCTGCCGGCTGTCGGGGGAATCGACCCTAGAAAAGAATTACCCCGGTTCTTGTTTGTTTTCCAACATTCTGAATTGTATACCAGCTTAGTATTACCTCTTCGGATATTACAGAAAAAAACAATGGCAGCCGCAAACACTCTTCATAAGTGATTTCAAGCGGTTACAAATAAACGCAAGGCACTCAATCACAATCAAACGCCAATGTGTGAACCAGCCTTTACGTATTCTCTTAACTTTTACAGTGCCGCGGTCAGGTGTTATCACACAAGGCTAGGAAGCCGGATCTGTGCGTTCGAGTTATTGACTTGTGTTCCAGTCACCTTAAATAGCCCCCAGCATGTTTTGTTTACAGCGGAGCTGTTAAGGGCAAGGTTCCACAGGATCGTGTCCGGTACCAAACAAATGTCGACACAACACTCTGGTTGCCGCCGTCGCTCATAGATCGTGGAAACCTTTCCAGCCTTTCCACTCTGGCTTGCCGACTTGCGGACGGCCATTACTTCATTCCCACCATAGCACAGCTTCGCTGGTCCTCCTTCTTCAGCAGAGTGGAAAGGATGAAAGCTTTTATTGACAAGATGTCATTAATATTGGTCTCAATTAGGGGCTGAATGGCGTATTGAGCAAACAAGTCTTAAGCCACCGGAAGTAAACGGCTTGTCCCGGAAGTGAACGGTTGACAGACTGAATATAGGAACATTGACACTTTGCACACACAAGAGAGGTCAAATGACAGAATTTTCTTCCTTGTGCAGGAAACTTTATTGCAATGTCAGAAGGGAAGTTCCAGTCTAGAATTGTTTATCTCTTCCGAGTGCCAGTTTCACAGCATCCAGGACGCTGAATTGTTTCTTGTCATCTCAGGAGAGCCTGCTTGTTGCGCAGTAACTGCTTATGCAGACCCGAGAAGTCTCCTGGGAAGCCATTGGATGTGAAAATTTTGCGATCCCGGTTGATCAAGTGTGCATATGCCCTACGTTCAAATGCCTCATTCTCGAGATTTATATTCAAAACAGGATTATTACAATACACTCACAGACACAAGAAACATCGACTGAATGCACTAGGAAGCCCAGCTGACGTCCGACGTTCGGGGGAAGCATCGAACTTCCGCTGGCTTCACTTGCGCCAAGCTCAGAGAGCGGTATGCGCCACCCAGTTTTTCATAGACCTTTCGAAAAAATAATCTCCCGGGCGCTGCCACCCTTGTGTGCTGGGCTGTGGAAGGCGTTCTAATCGTGCGTTATAGCTCTCTTCGACAAAATATGTGACTTCGCCCATGCGTCCTCTGCATAGTGGCTCAGCAATTTTTGCCTGTGTGACCAACAATAGAAAGGTCTATAGTGGACATAGAGGTAGGGGCTTCTGGAGGTGACATGACGCCATCTCCAAAAGCTTCCTACCTCGGTGGTAGTAGAGATCACTGGTGACTATTTACTTACCATTTCTTTCCATCGCGGCACGTTTCGATGCCTCACTCGGCGTGTCCTACACATTTCCGCAGGTTGGCTTGTCGCTCAACCAGATAGCGGGAATGCAGATGTCACTCTCGAATAGCGCCGACTTTGTTTATGTGGGAAACAACCTGGTGCCTGCTGTCTCTGAATGGACGTGGGTAAAGCACACGCATATTTGCCTAGATAATCATAGCTATAGTCCGTTCTTTGAAACCATGCCTATAATATTGTATTTCATTTTTTTTGCACAAGTCTATCTCCTATTTAGTCTATTTAACTAAGCCGCGTTCACTTTTATGCAATGCAATGCAATGCAATACCGTAAAATACCGGGCAAGCGCCCACTCATGTACTTTTAGTTTACATCCAACAAAAAAAAAGGAAAACCGCAAAAAAAAAAAACAGCTTAAAACAGATTTGCGAGTCCCCGTTCTATACAATGACAAACAAACATTAGCCTCAAAAAGTTAAAAAAAATATCGTTTCAAAGTTTGACACATTCATGCAAAAACATGTTTCAACAAGGAGGGTATAAAGTACGTATTGCTTTTTGTTTCAAATATTGGTCGGTGTGCCTTGTGTACTTATAAATTACAGTGCTGACTAACTCAAACTGTTTCGTCGTCTCTACTCCACTCATAATGTAAAGAAAATTATTAGAGATTAATGGTTGGTCTGTTACATGCACGCTTCAGAACTGGGTAAGGCCTATATAGCCGGACTTATAAAATAAATCTTCCTGTTTATTACAAGAAATGGAGTTACTTTGTCTATCTAGAGCAGGGTGACCGGAAAGGCATGTTCAAAAGCCATACAAAAGAACCTATTTAGAGTAAAGAGCCGCCCTACAAAAGGGTGCCCGTGCTACTTTTTTAAATATGTTTCTCCCCAGTTGGTGGTCACGGCGAATTCCACCCATAAAGCGATTGCTTATAGTACGTTTCCTTGTTATGTGTCCCCTTTCGTAAAACAAGGACTTTGTCCGATATGCCTATGATGGTACAAAGCTGACAAAATGCTAGCTACTCTTTTTTCTATATAAATTTCCTTTTCATCTCGCGAACGAGAAATTGTGCGTGCGTGCGTGCGTGCGTGCGTGCGTGTGTGTGTGTGTGTGTGTGTGTGTGTGTGTGTGTGTGTGTGTGTGTGTGTGTGTGTGTGTGTGTGTGTGTGTGTGTGTGTGTGTGTGTGTGTGTGTGTGTGTGTGTGTGTGTGTGTGTGTGTGTGTGTGTGTGTGTGTGTGTGTGTGTGTGTGTGTGCGTGTGTCTGTGTGTGTTGGAGGGAGGCGGGCATAGGTTTACCAGAGGCTCGTGATCCGCACTTTGGGCATCCCTTACTTAGAGACGAGTTTCCTTACACGGGTAGTTTTACTTTATGCAACCCACCCTTTTGGGTAGGGTGGTGTGCAGAAAAGAAAAATGTGAAAATTAAACTTTCGGTTAGGTAGCCTCAGTGTGCATGACCTGGGTGCCAAAAATAAAACAAATATTTCTTTTCCTCGCAAAATTCTAACTCAAATGAAATCAACTTTTTTAATATTGTTTCCCGATAAGTATTCTTCGTGCAGCTTCTGTTTATAAAACGTCACAATGATTAGGATTGCCTAAATAAATTATAGACATATGTTCATTTTTATTCAAGAATGCTCATCTGCACTGCTGTTAAGTTTCTGTGATGTTTTACATTTAGTCAATTGTCTTTTTGCCGCTGGAGCAAATAAGTAAGAGGTACGTACACTCGAAACCATGGTTTGAGGACATGGGCTGGACTGTAGAAACTGTAAGTGCCACTGTGAAACCTGTCAAACAAATATACCTAGCAATTTTAAAACTTTAGATTTCCATTTGTGCATTACTCCATGAGCATAACAGACCCCTTTCAAAACGCCATCAAGCAAAATTGGCGGCAGCCATTTCTTGGGCATGACGCTTGTGATTGAATTCGACTCGGCGTCGAACGCAGACTCAGCACTCGCTTGGGGTGCAAGCTGAGGGATGCAAGCTGAGCCGAGTTTACGCCAAAGACTGACGCAGCTCTCGTGTCCCATACATGCTCAGAGTACATGCCCAGGCAATTGCGTAGTTGCATAATTGGCACCACAACAATTAGATGGCGCGCACTTTCGTAAAGAGTCTATTGATGGCAACGCAAAGAGTGACGCAGTTCGCACTTCATAAAAAAAAAAAAATGTAACAGAGGATTTTCTGACGGCTAGCAGCAACGGATTCCGGCATTTGCATTTCATAAAAAAAAAATTATGTCGTGACTCTTTGCATGCCGGTAATTTTAAAACACATTTGTATAGGATGAACGGTCGTTATGTATCGAACCCGTGAAATGAACAAAGCTGTAGACGTAGTACGCATATGCAGATAAGCAAGAGCAGTGTCACAAAAGAGTGCTCAGCACGCATAATAACAAGCTAAACAAAAACGACAGGCCATTTATTTAAAACTTGAACCTTTAACAACACAATATAATACATTTCGAAGACCATCAATTATCGCTCACCATTTAGAACACATCACTGTACGGATATGCTCCCACAAACGTTTCACTTAATAAATTACACCTCTGAAGCTCTTTCTGTAGAATATAAGCTCAATTAGTTTCACCGTCACTACTGATTAAAAAGATTTTAAATATGGCATATGTAAGAAATACAATAAAATAAAAAAAACACGCTGGGGTCTTATTAAGTTTAAAAAAGATATAATGGGAAGAAAAGTTTCGTTTCCTCGAAACTTACCCCACCTCCAGATACCGGACATTTTGCATTGAAAACTCCGGTATCGCAAGGTGGAAATTAATCTAGCTCTCAATGTTAAATGCAAGAGTTATATAGCTTCATTCCGATGTGTATCCTGTGAGCCAAGTGCTGTATAATCACTCTCATTGTTTCACTCGCATCTGTTTCAGGTTATTGAATTTCGGTGGTGACCTGTCTGATTTAGAAACCAAGTTTGATCGGGCAAAAGCTCGAGAGAACCACCCGACTGGTTCTGGTTCCTGTTCGGCCATTGTTAAGATGGCCCCAGGAAACAGGGACGTTTATTTTGCGCACGCCACTTGGTCGGACTACAGCGGCATGAACCGGATTCTCAAAAAGTACCATTTTAATTACCACCGAAACCCCATGTCCAGTGAGTGTTGCAAACAGTCTTGTTTTGTGTTATGTGTGCGTATACGACCCGATTACACACGTGCAATTGTAGTGAAAGGGTTCCCAGGCGCAAATTTAAAAAAAGAGGGAGCGGCGGTGGGGGGTGGGAGGGTAAGGGGGGGGGGGGGGGGGTAGGCAAAGTATTATTGCCTTTGGGCAATAATACTTTGCCCTCTGTAACGTCTGGTACCTATGTGCCTATGCACATCTGCCCCCCACCCCCAATCCCCAAAACTCCTGCCATTCTTTTAATTGGGGGGAAAATAAGTACATGAAAAAAACCGACACTGAATGATGCTCGCGAAATTAAACTATTACATACGGAGGTGAAAAGAATGCAGGAGGGAAAAAATCACAACTATTTTTGCTGTAATTATTACGGCGCAAACACATATCGCTTTATCAATATTTAACCTGATCGTCAAAATTACTTCCGACTTTCATGACTTCCTCCTATTCATCCCAGAGACATTGATACCAGGCAGGTCGATAGTATTTTCTGGCTATCCGGGCAAGATTTTCTCCTACGACGACTTTTGTCTTATCAACACGGGCCTCGTAAGTACGATCTCAAATACTGTTTTAAGGAGCAACTCGCTGGGGTCGCAATAGGAACTATTTAATCGGAGTGGTAGGCAAGATAATATTATGAAACAATATTTCGAATGAAACATTTGTATACTATGAAACTAAAAAGACAGTAAACATGTTTAAAATGAAAAAAAAATCATAATTATTTTTAGTTAAATAATGCATGCTTGGTTTATTTAAATCAGATTTCTACTATTAGCTTCAGTTCCTAAAAACATATTTTGTCATAGTCACTGACAGTTTAAGAAACGCGGGGTGTGCAAAGGCATCTTATTATCGTTTGGCAGGCAGTGATATTGCGGCGCCAGCTGATTAGAATAGCGATCGAAGAACGAATCACAAAGCAAGAGGCGTGAAGATAAGAGAACATGCCATGCGTTTTTTTAATCTGTCACTGACTATAGATGTCAAGTCAGTTTAAACATGATAGAGTGATTTTTCGATTTGCTCTACTAGAAAATAAAGAAAAGAGTGGAAGATAAATTTATAGTGCAAACATAATTATTCCCCGCCTCCAACACATATAACAAAGAAGAAATGGGAATATACAAACGCATTAATATCGCATTTACCCTTTGCCAATTCCCTGTTTCGGGATTGCCTTAGGTATTGCCCAATAGAAAAAAAAAGCAATAACTTAAGATCTTCACTGGTCGAGACCTTAAGCACCACTGCTCGAAGAGCCTGAGCCCCGTATCACCCAAGCAGGCGATGCGGGGTTGTGAATGGCAACGGCGTTGTGAATGACGCAGGCGGTCAACTTGCGTCGTTAGGATATCGTAAAGCACCATTTAATAAAGGCCGTTACATGCTTTATCTAATCAACGCCCTAAATTTTGACACAACGAAAAGCAGCCTGATTTTTAGTTAGCGAAGAAAACTTAACTGGCAGCGATACTTAATAAAATCAATACAAAAAGTCACTTGTGAGTTTATGTATATGGAAATGTCGTCGAAGCCGACATTCTGAGATCTAGGTCATTTGACAAGTTTCGGAAAACGCCTGACGCCTTTTTCCGCGCGCTTGCTACACTATCAGCCCGTCCTGTGGACAGACGCGGCGGAACAGGTGGAACGTTGCATGCTTGTTGCCTGGGGTGGAAAATGATTTCATTGTGGTTTTGAAGGTAAACATAAGGTTTGCGCAATACTTGACGCAAAAAAGAGCATCGTTCAAAGATTGTCCTTCTCCGTTGCCCGTGGAGACGTTAACGCTGGTGGCGCTTGAAACGCTGTCCGCTCCTACATGCTCGAGCGCCGGCAACAGAGAAGAACCGTTTTCAGACGCCGTTCTTCCGTGGAACTTTTCAACTGATACATCTAGAACGTTGGTGAAAGCACCATCCGGCCATTTTTTATTTCAATTTTCAACTTTCAACTTTTTTGTTTCTCTCCAAAAGAGAGGGGGAGGGAGATAAAAAAAAACAGGCTGTTGTCGCTCGACAGAGTTTCTCCTTCCCACCACCAACAAGAGAAACAATTTAACACTCTAGTGATGCGTACAACAAAGTTTACATAGAAGCAAAACACACAACATTAAACCAAAAGCTCTGAGATACATAACAATCATTTCTTACAGGTCGAAGGTCCCATCAAACATAGGCACAGATAAAGCTACAGAAACAAAGAACGAATATCCTTTCTGCTTAAACTCATCAAATCTGTGCCAAATCTGTGTGTACTATTTATAACATTAGGCAACAAGAACTCCAGCATCTGGAGGCCGTAGCCTGTTCTCGAGCGAGGCGTTCACCTTGCGTCAACGAAACGGCTCGCATATGCAGGAAACCTCCGCTTCATATTGGTGATTGATAGAAAAACAAATTGATCTTGCCTTACAGATGTTTGATATGTTAGAAATTTATAATTGTAATTTTCTGTAATTAAGACTATGTGAAGGTTTTTGACAAGTTGTAATGCGTGAGCGTTCAATTCCACATTGCGCATCTTTCTGATGATTATCTTCCGGAGCACGTGCACGTGATGTATATTTGTAGCCGTTTTGCTGCCCCAAACAAGGAAGCAGTAATTATAGCAGGAGCTGAAAAGGAAGTCATAAAAAAGAACTAAGACCGAAAGTGGTAATATATGTCGGCATTTATAAATAACGCCCACAACGTTTGAAAGTCTGCCAGCTATATATTGCACTTGGTCGTCCCAGCTCATGCACCCATTAAATATCACACCAAGAACCTTCACATATTGTACAAAGTCAATATTTCGTCCTTGGAGAGAGAGCTCTTGAGTAGTGGAAAACACTGTATTTTTTGGATAAAAAAAGCATTGCTTTCCTCTTATCTGTACTAATTACTGAAAAGTTTGAGATTGTCCAGTCACTAATCTTCAGCAGAACGCTATTTTCCGCAAATAAAACCTGGTGGACAACTTATCACAAAAAGAATAAACTGGTGTCGTCTGCGTAATCTATAAAATCTGCACTATTGTGTATATTTACTTAATTTATGTACAAGTTAAACAGAAGAGCTCCAAGGATGCTCCCTTGTGGCACCCCTAACGTCAGTTTCCTTAAGCTAGATCACTATCTATCATGACACCCCCTGCTGTCGATACATTAAAAAAAAAAAACTCTCAATCATCGTTGAAGCTACTCTTCGCACTTCGTATGCACTTAAATCTTAAAAGCAGATTTTTATGGTTTAGGCGGTCGAAAGCCTTTGAAAAATCAATGAAGACCCCAAGGTCATCAGTTTCTTTTCCATGCTGTTCAAAATTGGTTATTTTCGCTTTCATGGCGCAAACTGGCAAGATGTTAGGAGAGCGTTCTTCACCGAGGTCGTATAATCTGGCGATTTTATTTTCTCTAGCCCCTTTGAAAACACTGTGAGCCCAAAAACGGGTCCATAATTCCTAGGTTGCTTCTATGCCCAGACTTGAGAATAATCCTAATCTTAGCGACTTGCATCTTTTTAGGAAAACGGCCATTTTGAAGTGAAAGATTAAAAATATGTGTTGAAAGAGGAGCAATTGATTTAATGACATGTTTCAGAGATTTCATTTGACCCCCATTTATGTCAGTACTTTTGCTGTTACACTGGTTCCTGAAAACCGCTGCCGCTTTGTCTGCGTCAGTACGGCAAACAAAAGTGTGTCAGAGACACCTTTTACAAATGGAAATTCATCGGCAGCGTTTCCATTCTTTACAATGTTTACAAAACAGTCATGAAATATTTCAGCTAACGCCAAATTACCTTTCGCTTACCCCTCGATGTTAAGCTTGAGTGCTGAAGATTCGAAACGGCCACGTCTGAAAAATGAGTTAAGCTTCTTCCTTATAGTATCTATTCGACGCTCGTTTTCAAACGGAGCATAAAAATATTCACACTTAGGCTTACGTAATGCATTTCGCTAATTTTTAAATAACGCCAGCACATCTGGTTTTCTATATTTTATGAACTTGATGTAGAAAACGCCCTTTTTACTCGTCATTTTGATTATCTCCTTGGTCACACAGGGCTTCCGAGTTTTCCTGGGGCAATTTGTTTATGCTTCGTCAGCTGACACCCTAGACAACATGGTTAAAATTGCGCATAAATAGAAACGAACAGTGAAGACAGGGGAGAGAAGAGACAAGCGCAAACTCACAACTCGATGTATTGGAGGAAGAAAAAAGAACAGCCCGTGCGGTATCAGCTCGAGCCGAGGCCACACTCGCACGGGTGCACCCGAGCACGCGGAGGACACACACCATGAACCGCACTCAAATGATTGTAGAAAGGCGATTTCATCGTCGGTTAATGCCGCAGAGGGCTGGCTGACAGAACGCTCGCCTAGGCGGAGTATAATAAAAGCTTCAAAAATTTCCCTTGTGCGTTTTTCGTGGAATTTGCCAATTATCGAGGATTTTTGTAAAGAAGGTGTACACTTACACGCTTGACGATGCAGGGGTAGGTGACCCCCCACCGTGGAATTTAGAGAAAGATTGTGTTCCCTTAACCGGTCACTAATACACGTCCTATTTGTACTGGTAAAAGCGAGCGAGTTGAACATGAATACTTAAAGGGATGCTGAACCGAAATCTGGATTCCCCAAAACCCGCGGCAAAAGCGTGCAACGGGATGCTACAAACACCAAAACATCACTCATGCAGCGATATCTCGAACGGATGACCGTATTTTTCAAAAAAAAGGAGGCGCATTTGGCGGAAATGTTGACGTCATGTTTCTCCGAGGAGGAGAGGGAACGGCCTCGCGTCTTCTCCGCCTCACCGCCTTGAGGGGCCGAAGCGAAGAGAGGAAGAAACAAGGTATCTTGACGTGACGCGCCTCGCCGGCCTGGTTCAATCTCGACCTCTTTTTCCAAAGATACGGCCGTCCATTTGAGATATTGCCTTACTAGTAGTGTTGTAGGGATTGTAGCGTCCCGCCTACATCTCCTGCATTGTTTTTTCTGAAATCCAAATTTCGGTTCACCGTTCCTTTAAACACGGAAGAATAAAACACGGAGGACAAGCACAGGACATTTCTCCTACGTAGGATCTGTCGCGAGTATCCCAGCCGGAGCAGCCAAAGAGCCCAAGTTATTCTGGGCCTATGTACGCTCCCAACGGAAATCCTCCTCTCCCAATCACCCATCCTTCAAGCACAACCATAGATTGGTATACGACCCCTCCACAATAGCTACCCTATTTAGCAAACACTTCTCATCAATTTGGTCACCCCCTAAACCACCTACCCCGTCCCGGCCCCCGGTCCCCTCAAGACCACCACCAGCACCAGCCTCAATCATCGACAGCCCTGCATCATCCTCTCAGCCCATTCTCTCGTCCCTATCAATCACAGAACAGGATGTACATGACTCGGTGTCCTCCATCCGCACAACCCAGAACCCTGGGCCAGACCAAGTGCATCCTGCATTTTTCAAGCTCTCTCTCTCCTTTAATCAAGCCTATCCTGACCATAATGTTAAAGCGCCTCCTGGATTCCGGCACTGTTCCCTCGGCCTTGAAG